TTAAGGTTAGGTCTTATTTCAGAGGAAACAGGGTAGAAGAAAGAATAAAAGGTTCCATTGCTTACAAGTGAACAGATCAAACAGCAAACTGACGGACATGATTGCTTTCAGCAACAGACTTACTGCTTCTAACAGACCAAAGAGGTGGGGAGAAGTCGAGCAAAGGCTTTCTTTGAATTCAAAGGCAGTGAAGGAATGATTTGTTCGTGCTGGAAAGATTGACAGTCAACCGAGCCAGAAGGGTCCCTCCTACCCAGAACTACTAAAGGCAACATGCGAGGTTGCGCAAACTCCAACATGCCTCTTGGCCAGAATCTGATTGTCATTTGCATGAGGTCTGTGCAACTTGCTGTGGCTAATGGCTGCTAATTGACATGGTGTTGGGGGGGGCTCTCAATCCTGTTGTCGGCTGTGTGAATAGGCATGCAGCCAAGACACACTCCATCAATTAGCCACTCCACATTATGCTAACCCTGCACAAACAGTAGCAGAATCCCAGCCATGGCCACGTCACTGCAGCTTTTTAGTTACTTACAACAGTGAAAAGTCTGGGGCTGGACTGAATTCTGGAGGAGGAGGATAACCTTGTTCCTGTGCTGGCTCTTCAGGTGCCTAATGCTGTGTCGTAAATATTAAGGGGAATGGTAACATCATGTCCTTTTGCAACACAGGCCAGAGCTTGTCGCATCCAGAGTTTTAAAAAATAAATAAAAGAATGGTAACTATTCTAATTACGTACTTTCGAAGTACAGTGGTGCCTCACTTAGTGATTGCCTCGTTTAATGATGCACTTGCTCAGCGATGAGGTTTTTGGAGCGATTTTGTGCGCCATTTAGCTATGTTTCCAATGGGGGAATTTCACGTAGCAATGTTTGGGACCTTACCTCACTTAGCGATGACAGTTTAGGTCCTCTGTTTCGCTTAGCGATGTTCCGTTTTCGCTAAATTAAAATTGTCTTAAAATGTTCAAAAACTGTTTTAAATGCTTGAAATAGTTAGTGCACCTTGTAAAACCTTTGCAAACTTAATTTGGCGTTGTTCTGAGTCTTTGTTAATTTTTGGTGAATTTTCCCCCCCATTGGAATGCATTGACAGCTGTCAAACCTACAGTTCAATGCATTCCAATGCGGGAGAAAAAAATTCACCAAAAATTAACGGTCAGGACAAAGCCAAATTAAGTTTGCAAAGGTTTTACAAGGTGCACTAACGATCCCAAGCATTTAAAACAGTTTTTGAACATTTTAAGACACTTTAAAAATAGCGAAAACGGACATCGCAAAACCATTGGAATGTATTGAATAGGCTTCAATGCATTCCAATGGGGGAAACATTGTTTCGCTTAGCGATGTTTCCTACGGCAATTTTTGCTTAAGGACGGTAATCCGTTCCCATTGGAATGGATTATCCGGTTTTCAATGCATTCCTATGGGAAATGGTGTTTCGCTTAGCGATGTTTTCCCATAGCGATGTTTTTTTGGGAACCAATTATCATCGTTAAGAGAGGCACCACTGTATAGGAAAGTAAATGTACACACACACACACACACACACACACACACACGGTGGATGGGAACTGTTAACTCCAAAGTCATCTCACGGTTTTCTGGACTTTGGGACTGTCATTGTGGTCGCCATTCCTTTTCTATCCCAAAATCTGGATTTCTCGGGTAATCCCCTTTTGTTCGGCTCCTAGAAAAACCCTCCTCTTTATTTATTCATGAGTACCATTTTGAAAATAGGATCCGCCAGAGAGAACAGAGAGCGCAACTAACACCCACGTCCTCTTGGGGAACACAATAACAAGACTCGAATCAGACAACAGCAACACTTACGGAAAGAAACCGTTTCACTTGAAAACGGAATAAAGCAGGATCCAGATAAGCTGGCGATCCTACTGCTGGGGGGGGATCATTGGGCTGCTTAGATGGAAACATATCTGGCCTCGATGGGGTTACACTCCCCCTGAAGGATCGAGTTCGCAGCCCGGGGGAACTCTCAAACCCAGCGCTCTGCGTGGAGGTGCAAATATCTACTCTGACCAAGAGGGCTGTTCACCAGCTTGGGTTGATTGCCCAGCGGCACCTTTTCCTGGAGAAGACATGGCTCAGAACCGTGGCTAGTGCTTTCGTAAGCTCCAAAGTAGACTACTGTAATGCTCTCTATTTAGGGCTTCCCTTGAAGTCGGGATGGACGGTTCAGCAGATCCAAAATGCCACAGCTTAGACGGATGGCTATTACCAGCTGATATGAGCACATGTCCCCAGTCTTGGCACCCTTTCGTTGACCCCTTGTTCGTTTCAGTACCGAATGCAAGGTGCTGCTCATCGTAACCTATAAATCCCTGAAAGGCCAGGGACCTCGATCTTTGGCAGAATGTCCCTCCTACAAAACCCGCTCGTCACAGGCCATGACGGCAAACTGGGTGATGCCAAAGGAGGCCCAAAGAGTCAACGCTCCGAGCCGTCCTCCTTCGGCCGTGGCCCCTTCGCTCTGAAACAAGTTGCCAAAAGACGTTCGGCAGAAGCCACCCCTCTCTGTTTTAAAACAATTAGTAAAAACAGTATTATTTATTATTTCTTTCGTGGTTTACAACCTAAGGTGCTCCAACCTGTTTAATTGATTTAAGATCGGTTTTAGATAGGGACAGGGTTTTCTCTATTTTAGGGTATTTCTTGCAAAGTATTTGGTTTCCTTGAGTATAACGTGATTTAAATGTGTTTTAATGCATGGCAAATGGCCCAGTGTGTGTGTGTGTGTACAGTATACAAGATGAAATAAATAAGTAATAATTAAATAAAATAAAATGAAAAGAAAGGAAACGAAATGAGATTAGATTACATAAAAATAAAATTGTTCCATGACCAGTTCTAACTGTTGCTTCCTGTCCCACATATAGGTTTCTCAGGAGATGGATAAGGTGGTCAGGCACTCCCATTTCTTTAAGGACTTGCCATAGTTTGCTGTGGTCCACACAGTCAAAGGCTTTCGCATAGTCGATGAAGCAGAAGTAGATATTTTTCTGGAACTCTCTGGCTTTCTCCATAATCCAGCGCAAGTTAGCAATTTGGTCTCGAGTTCCTCTGCCTCTTCGGAATCCAGCTTGTACTTCTGGGAGTTCTCGGTCCACATACTGCTGAAGCCTACCTTGTAGGATTTTGAGCATAACCTTGCTAGCGTGTGAAATGAGTGCAATTGTACGGTAGTTGGAGCATTCTTTGGCACTGCCTTTCTTTGGGATTGGGATGTAGACTGATCTTTTCCAATCCTCTGGCCACTGTTGAGTTTTCCAAACTTGCTGGCATATTGAATGTAGCACCTTAACAGCATCATCTTTCAAGATTTTAAATAGTTCAACTGGAATGCCATCACCTCCACTGGCCTTGTTGTTAGCCAGGCTTTCTAAGGCCCACTTGACTTCGCTCTCCAGGATGTCTGGCTCAAGGTCAGCAACTACATTGTCTGGGTTGTCCGGGATATCCACATCTTTCTGATATAATTCCTCTGTGTATTCTTGCCACCTCTTCTTGACGTCTTCTGCTTCTGTTAGGTCCCTTCCATTTTTGTCTTTTATCATGTTCATCTTTGCGCAAAATGTTCCTCTATTATGTCCAATTTTCCTGAACAGATCTCTGGTCTTTCCTTTTGTGTTATCTTCCTCTATTTCTTTGCATTGTTCATTTAAGATGGCCCTCTTGTCTCTCCTTGCTATTCTTTGGAAGTCTGCATTCAAGTTTCTGTAACTTTCCCTATCTCCCTTGCATTTTGCTTCCCTTCTCCTCTCTGCTATTTCTAAGGCCTCGTTGGACAGCCACTTTGCTTTCTTGCATTTCCTTTTCTTTGGGATGGTTTTCGTTGCTGCCTCCTGGACAATGTTACGAGCCTCTATCCTCCTGGACAATGTTACGAGCCTCTATCTTGCCCACAATAGTAGATATGATAATCATCTGAGCTGAATTCGCCCATTCCTGTCCATTTTAGTTCACTGATGCCCAGGATGTCGATGTTTATTCTTGCCATCTCCTGTTTGACCACCTCCAGCTTCCCAAGGTTCATAGATCTTACATTCCAGGTTCCTATGCAGTATTTTTCTTTGCAGCATTGGATTTTCCTTTCACTTCCAGGCACGTCCACAGCTGAGCGTCCTTTCGGCTTTGGCCCAACCACTTCATTAGCTCTGGAGCTACTTGTACTTGTCCTCCACTCTTCCTCAGTAGCATGTTGGACGCCTTCCGACCTGAGGGGCCCATCTTCCAGCGTCATATCTTTTAGCCTTTTGTTTCTGATCATGGGGCGTTCTTGGCAAAGATACTGGAGTGGCTTGCCATTTCCTACTCCAGGTGGATTGCGTTTAGTCGGAACTCTCCACTATGACCTGTCCGTCTTGGGTGTCCCTGCACGGCATAGCCCATAGCTAAAATTAAGTAACATTAAAATTAAATTAAACATTAAATTAAAAATTTATAAAATGTGACCTGTTACCTGTTTTCTGACCCTCATTCCCTGCCGGGGTTTTCCCTGGGATACCTGAAACGCTGCTCTCCCAAGACCCTGCTCTTCCCCTCGCCTCTCGTTGAGGGCTTTGCAAATTCTTCTCTGCTCACCACTGATTGTTCATTCATAAAGCGCCCTTGGGAGCCCGTGTAATGCGGTGGGTACAGCTCTGGGCGAGGACCCCAAAGAGCTGGGTTCAAATCCCCACTCATCCACGGAAACTCGCTGTGGCGTGGTGGCACCAGCAAAACCATTCCTTAAAGATCTCACAAATTGTTGTGTGGTATCGCTGGATCCTTTCCAGCATTGGTACATGTACTGTTTTTAGCTTTAGGGTCCTCTTTTAACGATGACCATCGCCTTGGGTACTTTTGAAGGAGAAAGGCAGGGTAAAAATATTTCAAATAAAGAAATAACATTGGTAAACCTACATTGACCTTGACTTGGCCACCCTCCACCCTCTACGGCACATGATCCGCTTGAAAGGCGGAGGCCGAGAGACCACCTACTTCTTTTTCTCGTCCTCCTCGTGAGGCGGAGGGTCGCCTTGCCCGTGGTCTTCCAGCTCCTGTAAGAACTTCTCCAGGGTCTCGTAAAAGGCCTCGTTGGCCTCTCTCACGTCCGGAAGGGCTTCGGAGATGACGTCCTGGAACCGGGACCTTCCAGCCTCCCGAAGCGCCTCCTCTTGAAGGACCTTCAGGACTTCCCCGTTGCCGGCCAAGAAGGTCTTGAGGTGGTCCACCTCCTCCTGAGAGGCCAAGAGGGATGCTGGGGTAGGCGGTGGGGAGCAAACGCTCCCAGACCAGGGAATGTGAAACGTGAAGTCGCAATAGCTTGGACTGGCCTGCTCAGCACCCCGTTCCTCGGGGGCTTCCGTCGGTGGTGCCCTCTTCTGCCCCATAGGGATGTCCTCCACCACCATCTCGTCCTCCATCGTCTGCGCTGAAGGGATGGGCACGAAAACACATAAGGCAAGGAGCACGGTCCCCAAAGGGTTTTGCCTTGTTCCACGCTAGAAGAAAAACAACCGCGAGTTAGTACCTGAGCAAGAAACTAGAGAAGAGGTGACTTCATGTTGCAGAGTTTTGAACATTTGGTTTCATTCCTCGAGCCGCACAGCAAGAGTGCAGCGTTTTGCAGAGCAGAGCAGAGGAGACCACCCCCTTTCCCACTGCCTTAAGTCTCGATAATTCACTCAGTCACCCACTAGGAGACAGAATAAAAGGTGCCGTTGCTTACAATTGATCCAACAGCAAACTGAGAAACATGACTGCTTTGAACAACAGAGTCAGTGCTTCCAACAGACCAAAGAGAGGGAGAAAAACGCTGGGAAGCAGGGCTGTCTTTGAATTCAGAGGCAGGGAAGGAACAAGTGGTTAGTGGATAGACGGACTGTCACCCTTTGATCCTCCGAACTGTGGCTTAGATCCATTTTGTGGACAGCCCTGATCAAATTCAGACCTAGGCTGTGTTAGAGTTTAGGATTTCTGGGGAAAAAAACATATTTTTTACTCTCTCTCTCTCTCTCTCTCTCTCTCTCTCTCTCTCTCTGTGTGTGTGTGTGTGTGTGTGTGTTTAAAAAATCTTTACTTACAGTTGCTTGAAATTACAGACATGTGTATGTTGCTTTCTTTCCTGCACACATACTTAGCAATGTACTGAACAGATCAACAACAAACAAACAAAAGAAACTGCCATCAAACCTAGGAAAGTGAGAGAAAGAGAGGTGGGACTCTCTTTGAGTTCAAAGGCGAGAAGGATCTATTGGGTAGGGCTGGGCAGACCATCTGCTGAGGCCGCAGAAATTCCACACAAAGCACAGAGAGCAGGCAAAGTCGCCGACCACGCTCCAACAGGCTGGACGTCCTACAATCCAAGGTCACCCTGCCCATGGCAGCTGGGAATTGTCCTCCAAGAAAGGAACTTTGCAGAGCTTTTGGGTTTTTTTGCTAGAACCGAAGTGTGGGGAGATCAAGGCAGTGCTTCAGAGACCCAGAGCAGCCGGCAGGAGATGCTCCAGGGACTCGCCAAGGCGGTCAGCCTTCTCAGCGCCCTCCCAGGCTTGGCCAGGCCCGAAGTTCTGTGCCGCTGACCGTTAAGAAGGAGGCCCGGCCTCCACGAGGACAGCCCTCCCACGAGGGGAACTGAAGCAGCCGCCTCGGGTGGCAGACTTTGGGAGGTCACTGCGCCGTGTTGGCGGGATGGCCATGGGTCCCACAACCTGCCTGGTACCCAGGAGGCCGGCCATTAGAGGACTGAAGAGGCAAAATAGGGTCTGGATATTGGCAATCGTGGCGTTTTTCCACAGGCGTCGGGCACAGTAGCCCCTGGGAGGCAGAATGTTTCTGGCTGGACCAAGATTTGATCTAGCAGCATCCTCTTATGGCCAAAGACAACACCCAGGCACCTCAAGAAGCTCCGTGGTGTGGCTTTGGTGTAAGCCATTTAATTGCACTTCCTGATGGATGAAATAGCCAGCCAGTCCAGCAAAAATGCTGACGGGGACGTATATCAGTATTTTCTGGAGTCAAAGATCTCCACAGAGAGAAAGAGAGCAGAACGAAGCAATAGAATCCAGAGGTGGACTCTTGCTTTTTATTGAGGATGATAGAGCACCTTTTAGGAAGCTTCACGATATGCCAATGGTAACCAGTCAAGTACATGCGCAGCCAGGATCATTAGCTCAGCCTGCGGTCCATGGCACCCGTTTTGAGTTGCAGGGTTTAGATATTTTGTTTATGCAACGGAATATTCAAAACCCTGCACCTTTACAAGTGGTATTGCCCCGTGTTGCATAGGTGTGTTTGCAAATGTTGGATCGCAGTAGGTTCGCAGCATGTTTGGGCACATTACAAAAAGGCAAGATTCAATGGGGAAAAGACAAGAATGCTGGGAAAGGGGGAAGGCAGCAGGAAAAGAGGAAGACCCAATAACACGAGACGGACGGACTCCCCAAAGGAACCACAGGCCTGAGTCTGCAAGAGCCGAGCAGGGCCATGGCCTAAGAAGCGTCGAGAGAGGCACCTCCACCTTTAGCAAAGGTCTGTTAAAGACAACAAAAGACTTTGGATCCTTCTTGAAGGAAGATCGGTCGGGGCATCCTGAAATAAACCCATTTCAAAGGAAAAATATCAAGGGGGGCATTTTGGAATCAAAAGAACACCACTGTAAATTAACTTTCAGAATTCTTTGTGTATCTCTTCTGGATCATCTAGTCCAGTCCCTGTCAAGGAGGCACAGAGGGGATTTGAACCCCCACCCCAATACCTAAACCACTGAGCTATCCAGCAGCTCATTGTGTTGTTGAGCTCAGCCACGAGCTCCCACTTTCTTGACTCTGTGAACCTTGAGCCAACATGAAAATGTATGTAGGTTCATGATCGATGCGATGTTTCTGTATCTAGAAGTAGTGCTCCCTCGAGGAGTGAAAAAGGTGCAATTGTTAAAAACTTTAACACTTTTAAAAAGTAGCGTGGCATGAGAATTTTCTCTGAAGTGTATAAATAATGGCTCCCTTTGCATGTCTGATTAGGCAGGTGTGCCCACAACATATGGGAGTGTGTTACTGGAGAGAAAATGTCATTAGGAGCTGGGAAGGCACATTTCCTTGAGCATGTATTTTGGTTCTTCACTCCCATTAAAATCAGCGAGACTTACCTGTGGAACTAAGATGTGCCTCCTGTTTATTTTCTTAACCCCTTTCCTACTTCCTACCGGATATAATTGAGACCTGCTCTAGTGGAAACAGTTCGGTTCTGGGCCGATTCCTCTGTCTTTCTCACACTCCTCGCCCTGTCTTCGTCCTCCCCCCTTTCTCAGTCGTCTCCCTGGTTTCTTTCTCTTTGTCCCCTCAGAGTGATCCAAGCCAGCTGTGCGGCAGAAGCATGGATCTTTTGTTTTCCTGCAAAGCGGCATTCCTGACACATCTGGGAACCGCCTTTTTGCGGTGGGGCGACCTCCAGGCCATCTTTTTTAGACCGAGCTCCAAAATCCATGTCATGGTGATCCCTCAAGGAAGCCAACTCGCTTGCCACAAAAATCTTAAGTTTCCTTTGAAATGCCGTCAGCTGGAATAGATTTCAGGAACTGGAAATTGCAACACCAAATTGCTTCCCCAGCTGCCCAAAGGTGATGGAAGGAAGAGAAGCTAGGCTCACCTCATGAATTCCCAAGATCCAGCTGTTGGGTCTTCCCGCCTTGATCCTGAGCATGTTTGCTTAGTGGTGGCTGACATCCAGGAGCGATGTATGGAAGTGAGAGCTGGACCATAAAGAAAGCTGACCGCGGAAGAATTGATGCTTTTGAATTATGGTGCTGGAGGAGACTCTTGGGAGTCCCCTGGACTGCAAGGAGAACAAACCTATCAGTTCTAAAGGAAATCAACCCTGAGTGCTCACTGGAAGGACAGATCCTGAAGCTGAGGCTTTCTCTTCATGAAAAGAGAAGACTTCCTGGAAAAACCCCTGATGTTGGCAAAGTGTGAAGACAGGAGGAGAAAGAGATGAAAGAGGATGAGATGGTTGGACAGGGTCATCGAAGTGACCAATGCGAATTTGACCCAACTCCGGGAGGCAAAGGAAGACAGGAGGGCCTGGCGTGCTCTCTGGTCCATGGGGTCACGAAGAGTCTGACATGACTTAACGACTAAATAACAAAAGCTGACATCCAAGTCAATATATTTAGACTTGATGGTCTGATTTAGTTTGCTGTCGCGATGGTATATGTCATCCAGGCGCTTCAAACTTAGGAACACCCTAATACGGTGTTGGAAAGCACGTGCAATCTTCACAGACTAGTTTACTTTTGGCCTCTCTACTGTGAAACTCCCTGCCCAAATGGGGATTTGAACCCGAATCTCCTGACTCCTCATGTGAGGTTGTGGACAGGGGTGGAGGCACCCAGCTGGCAAGCCATCCTTCCTCCTCCCAGGGCCTCTGGCGCTTCGGACTATAAGTTTCCTTGTAGACCTGGGAGAGGCAGGATGATTTGGAGACATCCCAGAAGGTCCAGGACAGGAGGAAACCGAGGAGAAGATGCAAACAAGAGGCCCTGAGGAGGAGGGGGGAAGCACATGGTGACAGCCCCAGCCCCAGGAAGCGACTCCTGAAAGGAGAAAAAAGGGGATTCTGGGTCTGGGAAAATATAAGGAGGACACTGGAAGGGAGAGGGCTGTTGGAATTGAAGAGGAAGAAAGAAATGCAGAAGGTGGCACTCAGATCGGAGAACGACTCACAGAGTCATGCAGTTGGAAGGGGCCTCTTAAGGCCATCAAGTCCAACCCCCAGCTTAAGGCAGGACTCCAAGTCAAAGCAAATCTGACCGATGGCGGTCCATTATTTTCTCTTGTATGCAAAGCAAATCTGACTGATGGCGGTCCATTATTTTCTCTTGTATGACTCCAGTGTGGAAGGACTCACTGCCTCCGGAGGAAATTGGTTCCGTTGTCGTACTGCTCTAACAGTTAAAAGTTTTTTTACCCTGATAGCCTAAATCTAGCTTCTTGTAGCTTGAGCTTCTCCCTGATAACCTAAATCTAGCTTCTTGTAGTTTGAGTCCATGATTACGTGTCCTCAATTCTGGGATAATTGAGAACAGATCCTGCCTATGATTACGTGTCCTCCACTCTGCCATCATTGAGAACAGATCCTGCCCTTCCTCTGGATGATGACCTTTCCAGAACTTGCAAAGTGCTCTCTTATCACCCCTCGGTCTCCTTTTCTCAAGGCTAAACAGGCCCAGTTCTTTCAGCCTTTCCTCCTAAGACTTGGTTTTCCAGCCGCCTGATCCTCCTTGTCGCCTTCCTCTGAACTTGTTCCAATTGGTCTGCGTCCGTCCTAAAGTGCAATGTCCAGAACTGGACACAGTACTCAAGATGAGGCCTCACCAGTGCTGAATAGAGGGGAATAATAGATTTGGAGACAAGAGTTGTGTTGATGCACCTTAAAATAGCATTTGCCTTTTTTGCAGCCACATCACACGGTTGGCTCATATTCAGCTTGTGATCTACTCCCT